CGACTCGTAACAGCACACAACTGCGGGCCATCGATATCCAGTCGATATCAGGCTCTTCTCGGGCTAATTTCATCGAGCGCGATAGACTGGCGCGACACACAACTTCCAAAGGCCGAGCGGCAAAGCGTGGAGCACGAGCGGCGTCCAGGAAACCTGCCGAGCTGACCAGTGGGAATCGCGTGACGCAACCTGCACCTCTTTTTGCATCAAATTACTCACAACTATTTCTCTAGAAGCTACGAGGTCGACTCGGACCAATCTTCGGTCGCCTCAGAATCTCGACGATTCGAAAGAACCTTTCTATAGACTAACCAAAGATCCGATCCGAGGACTCGAGAGCTCTCTGTTGTTTGACCAAAGACTTACGGACTGCGTATTCACGGAGGGAGTGCGCGGCCGCGTGGCAGCCCTGCACGATGGCCCTGGCCCAGGCGGCCAGGTCCCTTCGTGTCTCTGCACGCAGATGGTGCGTCACGACGCCGTCGATCGTGCCCACGCGCACAGCGAAGGCAGCCGCGCCGTGCTGCTGCGTCGCGACGCTACTGCTGCTGTTGGCCTCGGTCTGTCTGCTGGGCGAGGAGACGAGCCTGAAAGAAAAAGACGAAGCACCGGGTCAGTGCGCCGGGGCTACTGCTCCTCCGCAAGTTCGCGTCTTCTTGGCGCCAGCGGCGGCGCAATTCTGCTCCAGCATCTCGCCTCTGGATGTCAGTCAGTAATATTGTATTTTCGCTCCTAGTCTGCATTCCTATTCGAATCGCATTCTTTCTTCCTCGGAGCTCCCAGTCCCACAGCGAAGCTGTGGCAAGCGAAACCCAAGACCAGTTAAATGGTCCTTCCGGAAGCACGGGAGGACTCTGATAAGGATTCAAAGGATCGCAAATACCGATGAACGCGATCCAAAAGCAGCAACCTGCAAGGCAGTCGAGATACGCGAGCACGTGGTTGCAAAGGAAACGGAAGTTGAGTTCCCCAAGAGGACGAATCAAAATCTGAGATGGATCTGTGCCGAGTGTATGGAGAGTGAATGGCGGGTTGGCCATACCTGTGGCAGATCTTGCGGACGAGGGATTCGAGGTCACGAACGGTCGTAAGCGGTTCAACGGATGAACGGCCGAACCTTCGACCAGGATTTTCTCTATGGAAAAAAAAAAAAAAAAAAAAAAAAAACTT